CAGACAACCATTCAGTCACATGTGTACTCCTACAGACAACCATTCAGTCACATGTGTACTCCTACAGACAACCATTCAGTCACATGTGTACTCCTACAGACAACCATTCAGTCACATGTGTACTCCTACAGACAACCATTCAGTCACATGTGTACTCCTACAGACAACCATTCAGTCACATGTGTACTCCTACAGACAACCATTCAGTCACAGTGTACTCCTACAGACAACCATTCAGTCACATGTGTACTCCTACAGACAACCATTCAGTCACATGTGTGTACTTCCTACAGACAACCATTCAGTCACACTCCTACAGACAACCATTCAGTCACATGTGTACTCCTACAGACAACCATTCAGTCAGTCACATGTGTACTCCTACAGACAACCATTCAGTCACATGTGTACTCCTACAGACAACCATTCAGTCACATGTGTACTACTCCTACAGACAACCATTCAGTCACATGTGTACTCCTACAGACAACCATTCAGTCACATGTGTACTCCTACAGACAACCATTCAGTCACATGTGTACTCCTACAGACAACCATTCAGTCACATGTGTACTCCTACAGACAACCATTCAGTCACATGTGTACTCCTACAGACAACCATTCAGTCACATGTGTACTCCTACAGACAACCATTCAGTCACATGTGTACTCCTACAGACAACCATTCAGTCACATGTGTACTCCTACAGACAACCATTCAGTCACATGTGTACTCCTACAGACAACCATTCAGTCACATGTGTACTCCTACAGACAACCATTCAGTCACATGTGTACTCCTACAGACAACCATTCAGTCACATGTGTATTCCTAAAGACATGTCACATGTGTACTCCTACAGACAACCATTCAGTCACATGTGTACTCCTACAGACAACCATTCAGTCACATGTGTATTCCTACAGACAACCATTCAGTCACATGTGTACTCCTACAGACAACCATTCAGTCACATGTGTACTCCTACAGACAACCATTCAGTCACATGTGTACTCCTACAGACAACCATTCAGTCACATGTGTACTCCTACAGACAACCATTCAGTCACATGTGTACTCCTACAGACAACCATTCAGTCACATGTGTGTACTCCTACAGACAACCATTCAGTCACATGTGTACTCCTACAGACAACCATTCAGTCACATGTGTACTCCTACAGACAACCATTCAGTCACATGTGTAATTCCTACAGACAACCATTCAGTCACATGTGTACTCCTACAGACAACCATTCAGTCACATGTGTACTCCTACAGACAACCATTCAGTCACATGTGTACTCCTACAGACAACCATTCAGTCACATGTGTACTCCTACAGACAACCATTCAGTCACATGTGTACTCCTACAGACAACCATTCAGTCACATGTGTACTCCTACAGACAACCATTCAGTCACATGTGTACTCCTACAGACAACCATTCAGTCACATGTGTACTCCTACAGACAACCATTCAGTCACATGTGTACTCCTACAGACAACCATTCAGTCAGTCATGTGTACTCCTACAGACAACCATTCAGTCACATGTGTACTCCTACAGACAACCTACAGTGACCCATTCAGTCACATGTGTACTCCTACAGACAACCATTCAGTCACATGTGTACTCCTACAGACAACCATTCAGTCACATGTGTACTCCTACAGACAACCATTCAGTCACATGTGTACTCCTACAGACAACCATTCAGTCACATGTGTACTCCTACAGACAACCATTCAGTCACATGTGTACTCCTACAGACAACCATTCAGTCACATGTGTACTCCTACAGACAACCATTCAGTCACATGTGTACTCCTACAGACAACCATTCAGTCACATGTGTACTCCTACAGACAACCATTCAGTCACATGTGTACTCCTACAGACAACCATTCAGTCACATGTGTACTCCTACAGACAACCATTCAGTCACATGTGTACTCCTACAGACAACCATTCAGTCACATGTGTACTCCTACAGACAACCATTCAGTCACATGTGTACTCCTACAGACAACCATTCAGTCACATGTGTACTCCTACAGACAACCATTCAGTCACATGTGTACTCCTACAGACAACCATTCAGTCACATGTGTAGTCCTACAGACAACCATTCAGTCACATGTGTACTCCTACAGACAACCATTCAGTCACATGTGTACTCCTACAGACAACCATTCAGTCACATGTGTACTCCTACAGACAACCATTCAGTCACATGTGTACTCCTACAGACAACCATTCAGTCACATGTGTACTCCTACAGACAACCATTCAGTCACATGTGTACTCCTACAGACAACCATTCAGTCACATGTGTACTCCTACAGACAACCATTCAGTCACATGTGTACTCCTACAGACAACCATTCAGTCACATGTGTACTCCTACAGACAACCATTCAGTCACATGTGTACTCCTACAGACAACCATTCAGTCACATGTGTACTCCTACAGACAACCATTCAGTCACATGTGTATTCCTACAGACAACCATTCAGTCACATGTGTACTCCTACAGACAACCATTCAGTCACATGTGTACTCCTACAGAAAACCATTCAGTCACATGTGTACTCCTACAGACAACCATTCAGTCACATGTGTACTCCTACAGACAACCATTCAGTCACATGTGTACTCCTACAGACAACCATTCAGTCACATGTGTACTCCTACAGACAACCATTCAGTCACATGTGTACTCCTACAGACAACCATTCAGTCACATGTGTACTCCTACAGACAACCATTCAGTCACATGTGTACTCCTACAGACAACCATTCAGTCACATGTGTACTCCTACAGACAACCATTCAGTCACATGTGTACTCCTACAGACAACCATTCAGTCACATGTGTACTCCTACAGACAACCATTCAGTCACATGTGTACTCCTACAGACAACCATTCAGTTACATGTGTACTCCTACAGACAACCATTCAGTGACATTTGTATTTCTAAAGACAACCACTCAGTTACATGTGTACTCCTACAGACAACCATTCAGTCACACTCGTACTCCTACAGACTCCCATTTTGTCACATATGTACTCCTACAGACAACCATTCTGTCACATGTGTATTCCTACAGACTCCCATTTTGTCACATATGTACTTCTACAGACAACCATTCAGTTACATTGTACTCCTACAGACAACCATTCAGTCACATGTGTACTCCTACAGACAACCATTCAGTCACATGTGTACTCCTACAGACAACCACTCAGTGACACGTGTACTCCTAGAGATAACCATTCAGTCACATGTGTACTCCTACAGACAACCATTCAGTCACATGTGTACTCCTACAGACAACCATTCAGTCACATGTGTACTCCTACAGACAACCATTCAGTCACAAGTGTACTCCTACAGACAACCATTCAGTCACATGTGTACTCCTACAGACAACCATTCAGTCACATGTGTACTCCTACAGACAACCATTCTGTCACATGTGTACTTCCTACAGACTCCCATTTTGTCACATATGTACTTCTACAGACAACTACTCAGTTACATGTGTACTCCTACAGACAACCATTCAGTCACATGTGTACTCCTACAGACAACCATTCAGTCACATGTGTACTCATACAGACAACCATTCAGTTACACGTGTACTCCTACAGACAACCATTCAGTTACATGTGTACTCCTACAGACAACCATTCAGTCACATGTGTACTCCTACAGACAACCATTCAGTCACATGTGTACTCCTACAGACAACCATTCAGTCACATGTGTACTCCTACAGACAACCATTCAGTCACATGTGTACTCCTACAGACAACCATTCAGTTACATGTGTACTCCTAGAGACAACCATTCAGTCACATGTGTACTCCTACAGACAACCATTCAGTGACATGTGTACTCCTACAGACAACCATTCAGTTACATGTGTACTCCTACAGACAACCATTCAGTCATATGTGTACTCCTACAGACAACCATTCAGTGACATTTGTACTTCTACAGACAACCACTCAGTTACATGTGTACTCCTACAGACAACCATTTAGTCACATGTGTACTCCTTCTGACAACCACTCATTCACATGTGTACTCCTACACACAACCACTCAGTCACATGTGTACTCCTACAGACAACCATACAGTGTCCTGTGTATTCCTATAGACAATCATACAGTCACATGTGTACTCCTACAGAGACCTATTCAGTCACATGTGTACTCCTACAGAGACCCTTCAGTCACACCTGTATTCCTACAGACAACCATTCAGTTACAAGTGTACTCCTACAGACAACCATTCAGTCACATGTGTACTCCTACAGACAACCATTCAGTCACATGTGTACTCCTACACACAACCATTCAGTCACATGTGTACTCCTTCAGACAACCATTCTGTCACATGTGTACTCCTACTGACAACCATTCAAACGTGTGTACTCCTAAAGACATTCAGTCAGTTACATGTGTATCCGTTCAGTTACAGACTCCTACAGACAACCATTCAGTTGTGTACTCCTACAGAAAACTATTCAGTCACATGTGTATTCCCACAGATAACGTTTCAGTTGAATGTGTAGTACTAAAGACAACCATGCAGTCACGTGTGTACTCCTACAGACGACCACTCAGTCACATTCAGACAACCATACAGTCATAGAGGAAATCCTGCAGCAATACAGATAAATGTTGTTTCAAAGTGAACTTGCTTCATAAGGTCTTGCTGGTTGGTAACTTTGGATTTAGACGATATCACACACACACACACGCACACGCACGCACGCGCACACACACGCACACACACATGCACGCACGTGCACTCACTTTACCTGTTCAGTTACCTTGAGCATCTTGAATGTTCCATTTCAAATCAGAAAAAAATTACTTAAGATTGATAATAGTGTACCATTCACTTGCAGTATCCACAAACGAAGACGATTATAAAATTCAGTTTACGAAGCATGGGTACCCCTCGTCGACACCCTCACTTGCCAAAGCTCCTTGCGTCAGCCTCCCCATGGGGCGGAGCTAAGACACACACTGCTGCTGAATAGTCGGGGACAGATCTGGCCACATTTAGAGTCGTTTTCCAGTGCACTGAGACAGGTTCGTACTTTTCCGAATTTTACTACACTATTCAACTTGGTCTTTATTCATCAGTGCTGAGTAATGACTCTTTTCGTTTTCAGACTTAGGGTATATAAAGTTTAGGGCCACCCTCACTATTGCCTGCTAATTAAGCTTCCAGATAGATGTAGTGTGTACTGATTTGACTGGTGTTCGTGTCATCATCCACTACTTTGTCGTGTATCGCATGCTCAGTGACAATTTGATATTTTGAAATTCTGTTGGCAAATTCAACCGTCATCACCTGAGTCTGTTTTTCTTTTTCAGAATGCTTCGACTTGCCGCGTTCGCCATTCTCTTCTGTGGGACCTTTGATGCCGCCAGGTATATTAAGACTTTCACCAGGACCGTAATTCTGATTTGCAAACTGTTGTAAATACGTTGTAACTATACTACTATTACTACTACTACCTCTACTACGGGGTAGGGTGGGGTGGTGGGGATGGATGGGGTGGTGGTGGTGGTGGTGGTTGTAGGGGTAGGTGTAGGGGAGGGGGGTAGGGTTGCCTAGTGGTTAAGGCGTTCGCTCGTCACGCCGATGATCCGGGTTCGATTACCCACATGGGTACAATGAGTGAAGCCGTGATATTGCTGGAATATTGCTAAAAGCGGCTTAAAACTCACTCATTCACTCACTCACTCACTCACTCACTATTGGGAGCGGTGGGGTAGTCTAATGGTTAAAGTATCCGCTCGTCATGTGTCTGAGGACGATAGTGACGTTTACGGACGCGTCGGTCAAGTTCGTCTGATAGATGCTCGTTCGGGTTCAGGTCAGGCGATTTGGAAGGCCAGGGAAGGACAATGACGTTTGCACACGAACTGTGTGGGGTCGAGCGTTGTTGTGTTGAAACAGCCCCCTCTTGTTGTTAAAAAGAGGGAGGAGATGAGGTGGCAGGATTTGGTCGATGTAGCGATTTGCTGTAAGATTGCCATGAACTACCACTAGCTCTGATTTACCCGTGTAGGACATGGCTCCTTACACCAGGACGCTTTCTCCACCAAAGCTGTCCACCTGTCGAACGCAGTTCGGGGCAAAACGTTCGTGTTGACGTCGATAGACACATGGTCCCCCATCCCGTCATTGCAGATGGAAACGCAATTCATCGCTGAACCAAACGCGTTCCATGTGATGCCCAGTTATTAGACACGTCGTTGTCAGCATAGACGTGTCAGGACAGGTCCAGCTTTTGATTTGGCTCGAATTCCCACTTCTCTCAGACGATTTCTGATGGTTTGGTCGGAAATTCAAATCGGTGACGTAGGTGAAACACCCGGGTGAATGCGTCCTGAGCAGGAGTGGTCACTCTTGATCTTCCACTTTATGGACGATCTTGGGGCAAATTGAAGCGGGTAAACCGATGTCATAATCGAGATATGGTGCTGTTGTTGATGTTGAAGCATCTTGCAAGTGCAGACTAAGACTCCCTTCTTCCAAACGTCCAATGGCGATATTTCGGTCAGTAGCATTCAATCTCGGCATTTGTTATCATCGTTTACGTCGTAAATTTCGTGACGAAATAATGAATTTGGTTTGGCCTTTTATAGTCGATGTCTTTACTGTTCAACACGTTGCACGTGCATTACGTGGAAAACGTTTTCTGCATGCATTTTCATGTATCGTTTTCCTTTTTTATGGCCAACACTTACAAACACGTTTTGGGATACGCATGCGCGAAATACACCCACGACATGAGTAACGGGATTCAAACACAGGAATTGTCTTAATGAGGATTGCTGTCAAAATATATCGAAATGAACTGCTGGAAACACATATCCGTTTCTTTTTTTGAAGAGTGTACTAAACATCCCCAAGTTAGAACCCCAGAAACCTAGTTTGACTCATTCATTCTTTCACTAACTGTCGTTTCTTGAAGCGTGCCCTGCAACCCCCCTGATATGCTGTTGGGGAAATTCTGTGCTGCTGTGAAAGACAACGACGTCAACGATGACGGCAGAGTGGACGGCAGTGACATCGGCAAAGATCTTCTGAATTACAACTACGACGGTAAGTTTCGTTTAGCCACCGACGGAAACCGAAAGGGAAAGGATGGGGGGAAGGGGACCCCTTTGAATAAAATCACTCCGTAAAATAACTGTATATCAGTGTATCTTTTAGCCCTCCGGAAAGTGAGAATGTTACCGGATATGACGTGACTTATGACGTGATCAAGAACCAAAGATGGCAAAAATATGAAACAATGGTGAAGTCATTTGAGGCTGATATCTAACCATGTTGATGTGTTGACATTTACTTTGTACCGTCTAATATATTATGAAAGCTCGTGTTAAATAGAGGCAGGGATAGCCAAAGTCAAAGCTGTCGCTCGTCCGATTCGACTCCCCACATGGGTACAATGTGTGAAGTTCATTTCTGGAGTAAAACTTCATTCACTCACTCACTCACTCATGTCAAATAATCAGGAAAACATTCCTCGAAACGTCTGAAATAAGTCTGATAACATGTTTACCGTTACTTCTACATTTTGTGTTTGGTAAAGATATCGCTATACTTTCTCAAATTGTACAGACCTTGTGAATGAATCCCGCCTTTAGAGGAAGACATGATTTACTGGTCAATATATAGTCTTTCGTTGAGACAGACAACGTGCATTTTCATAGTATTTCATTATATAGTTCGGCTAAAAATATTGTCACATCTTAAATATCATATTCCTCAGGTTCTCAACAGGTTGTACAAAGAAAATGAAAATAATCAGACCAGTCCAGAGATTTTCAAAGATAACATAACATAAAATAACATCCTGAAAAGGGGTATGACAAGATTTGTATTTCATCTATGACCAAATACAACAAACGATTTGATAATGTACCGTTTGCGAATCTGTTTTCAAAATATACTGAGTTCGATTTTGCGTTTCATTTCATTTTCATAAGATCTTGCGTTGTAAAGATTAACCTTTTAGCGCATCTTGATAGCTCAAGAACAGATTTAATATCAGTATTTCATGTATCTATTATAACATGTCTTTATTTCATATTTGATAATCTTAAGAATGTAAGGTTTGATGCTAATGCTGATGGCAGCGGTGATCTTGATGGTGATAAGAGAACTTGAAGAACCAAACAACTGTGGCATACGTTTTTGTGAAAAACATTATATTTTTCGTTTTAACCTACAGATGACCTTTGTGTCAGTAAACAATGGGAGTTCGTGACCAGGTTCTCGTGTCGGTACGGCTACTCCGAAGAGTACGGCAGATACATGGCCACATCTTTTGGCGGCAGCCAAAAGGCGTGTGGCAGGCGACTTCATTCAGTAAGATATATTTTCAAAATGTGTATCCTTCCGTTTGTAGTTCACTTCCCGAGATAACTGACGATAAATGTCTAGTTTCCACTTTAACAGTCAGTCAACCTCCTTGCCTCAGAAAGATGTTGGTGGTTTGATGTACCCGAGACAAGATGATGACTGGCTATAAATGTCTAGTTTCCACTTTAACAGTCAGTCAACCTCCTTGCCTCAGGAAGATGTTGGTGGTTTGATGTATCCGAGACAAGATGATGACTGACTATAAATGTCTAGTTTCCACTTTAACACTCAGTCAACCTCCTTGCCTCAGACAGATGTTGGTGGTTTGATGTACCCGAGACAAGATGATGACTGACTATAAATGTCTAGTTTCCACTTTAACACTCAGTCAACCTCCTTGCCTCAGACAGATGTTGGTGGTTTGATGTACCCGAGACAAGATGATGACTGGCTATAAATGTCTAGTTTCCACTTTAACACTCAGTCAACCTCCTTGCCTCAGACAGATGTTGGTGGTTTGATGTATCCGAGACAAGATGATGACTGACTATAAATGTCTAGTTTCCACTTTAACACTCAGTCAACCTCCTTGCCTCAGAAAGATGTTGGTGGTTTGATGTACCCGAGACAAGATGATGACTGACTATAAATGTCTAGTTTCCACTTTAACACTCAGTCAACCTCCTTGCCTCAGACAGATGTTGGTGGTTTGATGTACCCGAGACAAGATGATGACTGACTATAAATGTCTAGTTTCCACTTTAACACTCAGTCAACCTCCTTGCCTCAGGAAGATGTTGGTGGTTTGATGTACCCGAGACAAGATGATGACTGACTATAAATGTCTAGTTTCCACTTTAACACTCAGTCAACCTCCTTGCCTCAGAAGATGTTGGTGGTTTGATGTACCCGAGACAAGATGATGACTGACTATAAATGTCTAGTTTCCACTTTAACACTCAGTCAACCTCCTTGCCTCAGGAAGATGTTGGTGGTTTGATGTATCCGAGACAAGATGATGACTGACTATAAATGTCTAGTTTCCACTTTAACACTCAGTCAACCTCCTTGCCTCAGACAGATGTTGGTGGTTTGATGTATCCGAGACAAGATGATGACTGACTATAAATGTCTAGTTTCCACTTTAACACTCAGTCAACCTCCTTGCCTCAGGAAGATGTTGGTGGTTTGATGTACCCGAGACAAGATGATGACTGACTATAAATGTCTAGTTTCCACTTTAACACTCAGTCAACCTCCTTGCCTCAGGAAGATGTTGGTGGTTTGATGTATCCGAGACAAGATGATGACTGACTATAAATGTCTAGTTTCCACTTTAACACTCAGTCAACCTCCTTGCCTCAGGAAGATGTTGGTGGTTTGATGTACCCGAGACAAGATGATGACTGACTATAAATGTCTAGTTTCCACTTTAACACTCAGTCAACCTCCTTGCCTCAGAAGATGTTGGTGGTTTGATGTATCCGAGACAAGATGATGACTGACTATAAATGTCTAGTTTCCACTTTAACACTCAGTCAACCTCCTTGCCTCAGGAAGATGTTGGTGGTTTGATGTACCCGAGACAAGATGATGACTGACTATAAATGTCTAGTTTCCACTTTAACACTCAGTCAACCTCCTTGCCTCAGGAAGATGTTGGTGGTTTGATGTACCCGAGACAAGATGATGACTGACTATAAATGTCTAGTTTCCACTTTAACACTCAGTCAACCTCCTTGCCTCAGACAGATGTTGGTGGTTTGATGTACCCGAGACAAGATGATGACTGACTATAAATGTCTAGTTTCCACTTTAACACTCAGTCAACCTCCTTGCCTCAGGAAGATGTTGGTGGTTTGATGTACCCGAGACAAGATGATGACTGACTATAAATGTCTAGTTTCCACTTTAACACTCAGTCAACCTCCTTGCCTCAGGAAGATGTTGGTGGTTTGATGTACCCGAGACAAGATGATGACTGACTATAAATGTCTAGTTTCCACTTTAACACTCAGTCAACCTCCTTGCCTCAGACAGATGTTGGTGGTTTGATGTATCCGAGACAAGATGATGACTGACTATAAATGTCTAGTTTCCACTTTAACACTCAGTCAACCTCCTTGCCTCAGAAGATGTTGGTGGTTTGATGTATCCGAGACAAGATGATGACTGACTATAAATGTCTAGTTTCCACTTTAAACACAGCAGTCAACCTCCTTGCCTCAGGAAGATGTTGGTGGTTTGATGTACCCGAGACAAGATGATGACTGACTATAAATGTCTAGTTTCCACTTTAACACTCAGTCAACCTCCTTGCCTCAGGAAGATGTTGGTGGTTTGATGTACCCGAGACAAGATGATGACTGACTATAAATGTCTAGTTTCCACTTTAACAGTCAGTCAACCTCCTTGCCTCAGGAAGATGTTGGTGGTTTGATGTACCCGAGACAAGATGATGACTGACTATAAATGTCTAGTTTCCACTTTAACACTCAGTCAACCTCCTTGCCTCAGGAAGATGTTGGTGGTTTGATGTACCCGAGTCAAGATGATGACTGACTATAAATGTCTAGTTTCCACTTTAACACTCAGTCAACCTCCTTGCCTCAGACAAATGTTGGTGGTTTGATGTACCCGAGACAAGATGATGACTGACTATAAATGTCTAGTTTCCACTTTAACACTCAGTCAACCTCCTTGCCTCAGGAAGATGTTGGTGGTTTGATGTACCCGAGACAAGATGATGACTGACTATAAATGTCTAGTTTCCACTTTAACACTCAGTCAACCTCCTTGCCTCGTGACGATGTTGATGATCCAGCGGGGGACATTGACATTTGAATCATGGGATGCTAATCACAATAACATTTCTGTAGAGAAAAGGAAGGATGGAATTATTACTGGGATTAAAACGTACAACAGCATTCTCTTACATTTGTATCTCTTTTCAGATATTAGCGATTCCGACTTCCTAATGATGCAGTACACTGTAAGTATCTAAACAGACAAGTCTTGCTATTCGATATCGTGAATACTTCAAACAAAGTTCAGTTAATTTACAAATCTAGTTATTATGAATTGATATCGGAAGTCATTACATGTAGTCCATTAAAACCAGAGTGATGCTCACGCTTCCTGTCAACATCCCTCTCCAGTACTAGAGCTGTATTTTCATGATGCCTGATACTGTCACAAATTTTATGAACACAAACGTCCATATCGAAAACTTTCCCACGGGCCAAAAGTTGAAGTGCTCACTCACCACATCGGTCCACTTCCTTTGTGAAAAGCCATCTGTTCGTCTACCCCGTCCCGGGTGAACGTGACTGTTCTTAAAGTGGCGTAAAGCAATATCCACTCACTCTGCTTTATCCCTTTAGTCGTGGGTTGGAATCTCTTATTAAACGCTGATAACCTGTGTGACTTTCAGATTTGATAACATTATAATATGTATGTATTATACATTTGATTACTACCCAAATAACACTGGATATCCATTTCACTCACTCACTCTCCTGTCCACAGCGTTTCAAGAACACCTACTGCGGTGACCCTAAGAACAGGGTGAGTCCTGTGGACAAACGCCAGTGTGACGAGGTGGACAAAATGATGCCAGCGGACATCAAGTGTGCATAAGCAGAATCTGCATTCACCTGTGATGTAGAAACATCAATAAAACTGTTGGTAATAGCAAGAGTTTTGTTCTCATTGGGGAAGCTGTAAGTGGTTACCTTCGTACCATAGTTTCCTGGCAGTGATTTTGGGGTGTTTTGTTGTTGTTGTTCTTCTTCTTCTTCTTCCTCCTCCTCCTCTATATCTTCTTGTTTGTGTTGTGTGTTTACATGCCTACATATATATATACATACACACATATACATACACACACATACACATACATACATACATACATGCCTACTAACACACATATACATACACACATTGAGACAGACAGACAGACAGACATACTGACATACAGACAGACCGACAGACACATACATATATACATACATACATTCAGACAGACAGACATACTGACAGACAGACAGACACATACATATATACATACATACATACATACATATACACATACATACATACATACATACATACATACATACATACATACATACATACATACATACATACATACATACATACATACATACATACATACATACATACATACATACATACATACATACATACATACATACATACATACATACATACATACATACATACATACATACATACATACATACATACAAACATACATACACATATGTACACACATACATACACATATGAAAAATATATTTGGATTTATCCGTAATAGTATTGATCTTTTCTGTGCGACTGAGAATAAATAAATAAACCCTTCATCACACCACTGGTCCCAACAATGGTAAGCACACTCTTAGTAAATGTAAGTACTATTCTTAGAAATGATATGTAACGGAACTTTTCAGAATATGCCCTTGTCATCTCAACCTTGGAACGTGGACCAGCTTTAAACCTGGCGTTTCCTTACTGCTAGTACCTAGGCTTGTCATTGTACACCAACAGATTGCAACTGTCTTACTATCAGCTTAAAAATGTGTTTCTATAGTACTCAGCAGATGGCACGTATTTATTACAGCACTTGCAAAAATGCTGATAGGAAATCCAGCGAAGAGTAGGTCACCAATACCTCATGAGTGAGCAGTGTGTTAATAGGTAATTCTTTTTCATCAAGTCTACAATTTTTTTGGTTCAATCCAATCGACTTTTTCCAGTGAGACTGGGCTTTTAGTTTGGCATGTTCGCTTGACTTTGATTGTCCAGGAGACATATTTTAGGACTGCTCCTTACTTCCTCGTTTCAATAGCCGGGGTTACTTGCTCAATAGAAGAAGGAGAGGGCGGTGGAGAAGATGAGGAGGAGGGAGAAAAGAGGAGGGGTAGAAGGAGGAAGAGAAAGAAAAGATGAGTAGAAAGTGGAGAAGAAGAAAAGGGGAGAAGAGAAAGAAGAGAGAGGGAGGAGAAGTTTGTGCTTATAACGTCATGATCTACAAACACTGGCAAAATAGAAAGAGGCCATTGTTGAGTATTGACACATGTTATCCCTTCAAAGCAGAAGAATGAAAGTAACTGTGAGTGGAACATGATTTTCCATTCATCCAACAGCATATAAGACCATACACGTCATATTCGTTTCACCCGATTTAGGTATTCGATTCATTCGCGTGATAGTCACCCCGCCGCTTCATGATAATCGACCAAACCAGGCGATAATGGGTTCACCCGATTAAATATTCGACTCATCAACGTGATATTCGACTCTTCCAAACAGCATGTACCACTTTATTAACAAAGCATTATCGTCCTTGCAGTCAGGTGTTCGTTGCCCCTTGCAATTGTCTTGCCAGGACAAACATGGTGGTTTAGTCAGACCGACGGAAATATATGGGTGAGCGTTTCCTTGTACTAAAGGCGATGTCCGTATACGCAACCTGAGAAAAGAGACAAAGGTTGGATTTTCAGTTCTACCAAATCCAGTAATTCTAATTTTATGGTATACTTATAACACTGATACAGATGATCTCCGAGTGTACAGAATACAGTGTGCATAACAAACTAAAGCCAGCATGTTAACGATGTAAATGATTTGAAAAGATATATAATATATAATATTCCCAGAAATTATAGAGAATGTTTTTATTCCAAATAATGCAGCCTTTCCTCGCATCAGATTATAACCTCAATAAAACCGTAAGATTGTATTAATGTGTTGAAATCCCGAGCCTAGATTTTCGAAGCTCTGTTAGCGCTAAGACAGTCGTAAGGTAATGTTAATGTATGGCACTTACGACTATCGTAGCGCTAAGGGAACTTCGAAAATCTAGGCCCTGATTTCTAATTCATTGCCAATATCTAATCTTACATGGGATTTAAATATTACAAAATGACTCAAATAACCTTTCTTCTGCCAGGTCGACGCACACTCAACACCTCACACCCTACCCCACACCCTAGACCCTAGACCCTACACCCTAGACCCTAGACCCTACACCCAACACCACACCCTACCTTACACCCAACACATCCTTTGAAGTGTTCTATAAGACCAATAAACATGAAACTGTGTTTGTGTCTAGTTACCTTTTTTATAATTCTTTGGCGAGGTACCTGTCGAAACAAGGCGATAAGCGTCTCCATGACACACTGAAGGAGAAATGTAGCATCGGAATGCCGTAAGACGTTATTCAGACGTCAATCCCGTCAGTTCTACAAAATCCACTATTCTGGTTTTCATTACCTGAGTTTATACGACGCCCATACCGAGAATTTCCGTGTGCTCTGAGTACACTTTGCCATGCAGTGTATGGAACAAATCCTTGGAGATCAATGAATGCGGGATAGTCACTACACAGAAGTACCTACCTACAGTTTCCCAACTGGGTTAAGTATTGTCAAAACGTCATAAATACATCTTGCATATAGGCCTTTTCTTCCATATTTTGCTGCACGGCCATGAAACCCTGGAAAGCTTCAGACACTTGGCCATTACCTTCTGAAAATAAATCATTCATTGTGTTCAAAGAAGATGGGAGACATCCTAGAACAGTTGAGGGCCAGGACAGGGGTATTCCCCCACTCTAAAGGCCTAAAACAAGTCGAAAAAGTCTGTCCATATAACCCGTACTCAAAATGGACCACCATGACAGGTATGGCGTGCTTCATGGTTATGTCGACGGTCGGGACTCTAGGTAACTGTCTCGCAAACTCATGTATTGAATTCCATGACGTATTAACTGAACATTTTGAGTGAATATACACCCACGCAACTACATAATTTGACAAGTGAGCATGACATGTTGTGTTTCTCAATTCGTCACTCGATCACGTTCGGGTTAATCGGAAGAAGCGCTCATACAATGTCAACAGTTAACAACAACAACACTGGCTTCAAGTACTCAGTGCCGATGACTTTGATTACTGAGCTAGTGTTACGTGCTGGTGTTGAGCCCAACCCAGGCCTTGACACGCGTCAGAAACAACTTAAACTAGCGGACACAAGCAATAGTGATCCCGGTAGTAAGTCTGAGTTCGAGAGACTCATGGAGGAACTACACAAGATAAATACTAAAGTTGATAATGTGCAAAAGGATCTCTCGGGACGATTTGATGAACTCTCAGATTCTTTTGGTAGAATTAAGAAGTCAGTGAACGATTTATCTGCAAAATGTGCTAAACCTGAAGAAGAAAGCTGTACTCTGAAAACTAACGTTTCAGATCTCTCAGGCAAGTGAGACTACCTGGACAACCAAGGTAGGAGAAACAATCTTCTGTTCAAAGGTATCACTTAGTCTAAATCTAATGAAACCTGGAGTGACTGTGAAGATTCAGTGCGGAAGGTACTACATTGGTAGATGGACACTGACGACTCTTCTATTACTATTGAGAGAGCGCACAGAGTTAATCGTGGTAAATCCTTTATCATTAAGTTGCTGGATTACAAAGTGAAACGTGAGATTCTGTGAAATGCACGATCACTCAAGGATACAGGTATTTACATCTCAGAGGACTTTTCCCTTAGAGTTCGACTCATACGAAATAAACCCTGAAAACTATAATGGATTCTGAAAGAGAAAAGGGTCGAAGATCAAAACTTAGATTTGATAAACTAATCTTTGATGACGGAGAGGTTGTGAGCTGGAACAGTCAGGAGGATAAAGCTGTTTTCTCTAGGAGAGGTAGCAGTCGTCACGATGAAGTCTCCACACTGACCTAGGATAGGGGCCGGGCTCACCATGCTGAAGTTATTTCCCTTTTCACATGGAACACACGGGTACTACAGACAAAACTGTCCAAGCCTGGTCTTGTTGAATACTGTCCACAATGTTATATTATTGGATTTCGAGAGGTTTGAGGCAATGTAAACAGGAGTTCGTACAGAACAATTTTCCAAATTTTCCAAACTTGAGAGATTACAATAATAGAGGTGGAGTCCGTGTTATGATTAAGATTGATTTGCATGATGGTGTGAAGAAGGTTATAACAACATACAGTGACTGCATTTTTCTTACTTTGGATGCAAGACATTGTTTACATTCATTCTGAGGCCTCCTCTGTTGTGACTGATACTAGAGATAAGAAGGGTGTTGAATACCTCGATAGGGCTATCTTAGATCTCAAAGGTCATTATAATGACACACATATCATCATTTGTGGCGACCTCAGTGCCAGGACAGGTTGCCTAGCAGATTATATCATTCCTGATAAAGCAGACAATATTCCAGAGTTAGATGACATAATTGATACATTCGATAGTCTACATTCTTCAAGAGACTCCGAGATTATGGCAAGGAACTTTTTAATCTTTGTTGCAGTTATGGAATACATATTGTCAATGGTAGATCAAAGGCTGATCCGTATAGAGCGTATACTTGTATTGCAAACAAAGGGCATAGTCTAGTTCACTATACATAGTGTTCTACTAATCTATTTAACCTATTTGCCTATTGTTTGTCAGCTAAATTGTTTCTTCCAGAGGACTGTCGATTCGGAGCATTATGCTACAATTGCGATTTAAGGAGAATACTAACGTAATTTCGTTTTTAATATATGGAAAAAAGCATCCTAAAAGTCATCTTCCGTTATTAAAATTTCACAAAAAGTTTGTAAAATCGCAATAAAAACGAAAAACGCCCTCGATATTCCGCCTATTACGGAATCACCCGACAGTTAATGAGCAGAGGAGGATATCACGTGACATGACGTCAAATGTGCCCATTGACGATGGCTTCCTCTTCGTTATATTTGACATCTTGACTGTGACCATGGATTCTGAGGCAATAAAACATGTTCCCGATGTCATTTTTTACCTGTAGACCGTACCAATACGAGCCGAATTTACATCATGCAAGACAAACTTCCAGTGAAGATGAAAAAGATGAATCACTCGAAACGGAGGCACACTACTTGATTGGATTCAATTCATTAATTCGGTATTTTGGCCATGTGGCCCAAAGTAAAATTGATTGTGGCGACATAGCCGTACCACTTGACAGGAAGAACATAAATATATGCACATCTTCATCATGAGGAAAACACAGTTTCATGAAAATTGCGACAGAAGTTATGGATATATTTTGTATTGAGAACAGATAGACTTTTGTAACTGATACGATGTAAATATTTTAATTGTTCGCGGATGGGAGATCCGCATACCTTTCACATACAAAAATACACGGCACTGATCTTCGAAACTCCTTGGTTACAACTTGTGCATACCGGAATGTTTTCATTAGTCTGTTTTTGTCACAATATATGAACTTTAAACGAATGCAACTATGATGCAATACGTAATTTACAGAATGCACGAATCAAGGTCTTGTCACTTAGTGCTGTAAGGTATAGTTCAGGCTGTAATAATGATTTTAAAGTCGAGTAATTCTAGATGCATACTTGCCAACATTTAGAAATAATTTGAAGTATGTAGTTTGTACCATTTCTATGCATCCATAATACCTAGCCCCCAAAATTTCTGAACCATATAGTAAGTAATACAGGCATGACTTTACTATGAAAATATGTACAAGCAACTGCGAAGGAATTATGCTTATTCTTACGAAATAATGTATACTTGGAGAAAATTACTTTACTATCTTTCAGGGAGATAGTTTGACATGCTTTTGACCAATTCAATGATGATGAGAACAGAACAACGAGGTAGCTATAATAGATTACAGTTTTAACATCTTGACCACTAGGTGTCAACATCGGAAGACTCGGGAACACAGACTGGTTAGTTCGTCATATAAACAACTGTCGAATAATCGGTTTTATTACTTCAGTTATATTGTTAATGTTTCAAATCATTTTAGATGCTCTCAATATATTTTAATATAATTAAATTTTTATTGTGTTCATTAAAATTCTGGCAATCTGATTGGTTAACTGGGAACATTTCTTTTGATTTCATTTCCCAATGAATCTAAAAAAATAAGCCACGCCCACCGAACCGGACTACTTTCGGACCTGAGGAATGTCGGGGAATACCTTTACACAGCGAGGGAATTCCCTTGCACTCGGGTACCTTAATGAACTTTGGATAAACATTGAAGTGATAGATTGTGGTTAATATAAACAAACAACTCAAAATTATCCGTGAACGTTAATAAAGTGTTTATTTAATAAAAAAGTGTTTGTCATAATACATTATTTGACTGGTTACTGTGGTTACCACGTGCAGTCAGCGAACGGTCGTCTGCAACTTGTCTTGTTTACATTCCAACAAGATGGCCGATTCCAAGTACGGAAGTTTTGATCTGGGGAACTTTGAGTCGATTTTCGAAGATCAATCTACCGGAAACGTTGCAACTCTTAGCACGGATAACATTGATTTTCCGGATGATTTAGACCTGGAAGAAATTGAAAGTTTGTTAGAGATAACAGCATCAACCAGATCTACAAAAACATCGGCAAATCACGAGATGACGTGTGCAATGCAAGTCGATGATAAGCCATCCCAAACACATCGTTTCAAACGTTTATCAAATAATGATTTACTTCGAATGGACGACTACAGACAATCTACATCCACAAAAAGAAACACAAAATGGGGTGTTAAACTATTCCAAGGTAAATATACACAATTCATATAAATATTATTTTCAAATTCCATCCTACGTATATTTTCTCAAAACGAAAGACAGTTCATCAGCACAAAGTTGTATTTTTAAAAATGGAACAATTATCAGAATGAGATTAAATTATGTAGATCTAACCGAGAAAAATGATTTGCTATAAAGTTACCTAGTTCAAAGTTTACATAGTTGGGTCTGTCATAGTCAGGTTTCTAGATATTGTTTTCGTTCTGTTTATTTAGATTGGTCGTTCGACAGCGAGGGGAGATCTGGATTTTTCAACAATTACACCAGAGGAACTTAACACAAAGTTGAGATTTTTCTACACTGAGGCACAGCCTAAAAACCAGGAAACAAGATGTGAAAATATGCCGGCTGCACATGCTGCCGAGTATCACAAGAACACTTTAAAAAATGTTCGTTCTGCCCTGAAAAGACACTTAAATGATATCGGGAGAGATATTGACATTTTAAGACTAAGCAGTTTAAGTCTGCAAATGATATGCTTGATGCTAAATTAAAGTACAATGTACAACATGGCTTGTCACGTCCCACACAACATAAATCAATCATTGAAACAAGTGATCTGATGAAAATTAGCACTTATCTGCATTCGGCATCCAATCCTGTTATCCTCCGGTACAAAGTATGGTACGACTTGGCCATCCATTTTGTAAGTCGTGGTCTTGAATTTCACCAGCAGCTTACGCCCACATCCTTTGAATTTGCGGTAGATGATAGCAATGTTGAATATGTCACACTGTCCCACGAAACGAAACAAAAACATCCAGGGTGGTCTCAGCAGCGATGAAGCGCAAAGCGACAAACGAATG